TTCCTGCGGTGTGAGAAAGGCTCCTTTACTTTTCCAAGGCTCGTTTTCCGAGCCCACTTTTCATCTTTTAGTCTCAAAGAAGTGAAGAGGGCACAGGGGAAGTCTATTTTTCATATTAAAGACCTGAAAGACATTTGGCAAAAAAAACACACCCGGCAAGGCTCCAGGGTTTTGTCTTAACTCAGGTGTCAGAAAGCCCCCTTTACTTTTCCATGCTGGTTTTTTAGGCCCCGTGTTTTATTTTACCCTCAAAGAACTCAATCGTGGTACTGGAGAAGGCTATTTCCCTTCTCACCCACCAGAAATCCACTAGGGAAAAAAAAGTAAAACAAAACAAACAAAAAAAAAACCCGGCGCGGCTCCTGAGCTTTTTCTTAACTGGTGAGTGAGCAGGACTCCTTTACATTTTCCAGTCTTTTTGCAAGCCCAGTTTTCATATTTTAGTCTCTCAAAACTGAACGGGCCACTGGAGAAGGCTATTTTTTCATATTAAGCACTTGAACCAATTCCACAAAATCCTCCTGCCGTCCTCTAATGCTCCCGAGTGTTTTCTGAACTTCTCAGTGAGCAAGGCTCTTTCTGAGATGGATCTGGGCTTGAAAACTGTCCTGGGAAAACTGGAACAGTTTTCCCAGGACAGTTTTCAAGCCCAGTTTTCATATTTTGGCACCAAAGACCTCTGCAGGGCACAGGAGGAGGCTGTTTTTCACATTAAAATCCAGAAACCCATTTGGCAAAACAAACCACCCGGCAAGGTTACCGAGTTCTCTCTTTCCTGCGGTGTGAGAAGGGCTCCTTTACTTTTCCAAGGCTCGTTTTCCGAGCCCACTTTTCATCTTTTAGTCTCAAAGAAGTGAAGAGGGCACAGGGGAAGTCTATTTTTCATATTAAAGACCTGAAAGACATTTGGCAAAAAAAACACACACCCGGCAAGGCTCCAGAGTTTTGTCTTAACTCAGGTGTCAGAAAGCCCCCTTTACTTTTCCATGCTGGTTTTTTAGGCCCCGTGTTTTATTTTACCCTCAAAGAACTCAATCGTGGTCCTGGAGAAGGCTATTTCCCTTCTCACCCACCAGAAATCCACTAGGGAAAAAAAAGTAAAACAAAACAAAACAAAAAAAAAACCCGGCGCGGCTCCTGAGCTTTTTCTTAACTGGTGAGTGAGCAGGACTCCTTTACATTTTCCAGTCTTTTTGCAAGCCCAGTTTTCATATTTTAGTCTCTCAAAACTGAACGGGCCACTGGAGAAGGCTATTTTTTCATATTAAGCACTTGAACCAATTCCACAAAATCCTCCTGCCGTCCTCTAATGCTCCCGAGTGTTTTCTGAACTTCTCAGTGAGCAAGGCTCTTTCTGAGATGGATCTGGGCTTGAAAACTGTTTTCCCAGGACAGTTTTCAAGCCCAGTTTTCATATTTTGGCACCAAAGACCTCTGCAGGGCACAGGAGGAGGCTGTTTTTCACATTAAAATCCAGAAACCCATTTGGCAAAACAAACCACCCGGCAAGGTTACCGAGTTCTCTCTTTCCTGCAGTGTGAGAAAGGCTCCTTTACTTTTCCAAGGCTCGTTTTCCGAGCCCACTTTTCATCTTTTAGTCTCAAAGAAGTGAAGAGGGCACAGGGGAAGTCTATTTTTCATATTAAAGACCTGAAAGACATTTGGCAAAAAAAAACACACACCCGGCAAGGCTCCAGAGTTTTGTCTTAACTCAGGTGTCAGAAAGCCCCCCTTTACTTTTCCATGCTGGTTTTTTAGGCCCCGTGTTTTATTTTACCCTCAAAGAACTCAATCGTGGTACTGGAGAAGGCTATTTCCCTTCTCACCCACCAGAAATCCACTAGGGAAAAAAAAGTAAAACAAAACAAACAAAAAAAACCCGGCGCGGCTCCTGAGCTTTTTCTTAACTGGTGAGTGAGCAGGGCTCCTTTACATTTTCCACTCTAGTTTGCAAGCCCAGTTTTCATATTTTAGTCTCTCAAAACTTAACGGGGTGTGGGGCTGACTTTCGCCAAGATGGAGGCATAGGTGCATTTGCCGTGCCTTCTCACATAACCAAGTTTAGACACAAGTAAATACTAGCAACAGAAAACACAGCCAGAACACAGAATATTGATCTTTCGGAATTCTGTGAACAACAAATTCTTCAGCCTGACCCGTAGGGGTTAACCCAGCAGGTGGCAGAGCGGGGCAGCACAGGAAAACTGGGTCAGACGAACTCAGGTGCGCAGAATCCAGGCGCAGGGTGGGTGGGACCTAGTGAGTGAGTGAGGGAAGGAGCGAGCGAGTGAGCGAGGGAGCGTCCAAGCGAGCCAGCGTGGGGAGACAGCGAGAGAGCAGGGCTGCGGGTCCCGACCGTGGTCCCGCCTTTGTGCGCGGATAGACGAGCGAGGGAGTGGGCGATCAGACCGGGACCCAGTGGGTTCCCGCAGCAAGTGGCAGCAGGGGCGCCGCCATTTACCTGCTCTGACCCCACCTCCACATACAGCGTCATAACCCAGCGACTCTGAGTGGCCCGGCCCAGGTGAACCACCTAAGACGCTAATCCTCACCCAGCTGTGAGAAACTGCAGAGGGGGTCGCCATTCCCCCCTCTGACCATGCCCCCACATACAGCGTCACAATCCAGCGACCTGGGAGTCCAAGGCTCCGTTCCTCACACTTAAAGGGCCAGAAGAGACCAAAAATGTCGCAAGATCTCAAAGCCCCAGAGCCCATAGATCTAAGCGATGAAGAAATAGCAAAACTCTCAGATGCACAGTTTAAAACACTGGTCATCAGGATCCTCACAGAACTGGTTGATTATACCCACAAATTAGACAAATATATGAAGGCGAAACTAATTGAAATGAATGGAATTGCACAGGACACCAATAGCAATGAAAAGGAAACTGGGGCTCAAATCAATGGAGTGGACCAGAAGAAAGCAAATAATGGCCAAACAGAAAAGAGTGAAGAAACAAGAATTCAAAAAAATGAGGAGAGTCTTAGGAACCTCCAGGACATCTTTAAACGCTCCAACATCCGAATTATAGGGGTACCAGAAGGGGGAAAGGCACAGCCACCAGTGGAAAAATTATTTGAACAAATAATAAAGGGAGAATTTCCCCAATCTGGCAAAGGGAAATAGACTTCCAGGAAATCCAGGAAGCTCAGAGAGTCCCAAAGAAGTTGGACCCAAGAAGGAACACACCAAGGCACATCATAATTACATTAGCCAAAATTAAAATGAAGGAGAGAATCCTAGAAGCAGCAAGAGCTAAGGGGACAGTCACCTACAAAGGAGTCCCCATCAGACTGTCAGCAGATTTCTCAAAAAGAGACCTTACAGGCAAGAAGGGGCTGGAAAGAGGTATTCCAAGTCATGAAATCCAAAGACCTACAACCAAGATTGCTCTATCCAGCAAAACTTTCATTTAGAATGGAAGGACAGATAAAGTGCTTCTCAGATAAGAGCAAATTCAAGGAGTTCATCATCACCAAGCCCTTATTATATGAAATGTTAAAGGGACTTATCTAAGAAAAAGAAGTTAAAGAAACATGAACAGTGAAAGGACAACAAACTCACAGTTATTAACAACCACACCTAAAACAAAAGCAAACTAAAAGGACAGCTAGATCAGGAGTGGAAACATAGAAATGAAGATCTCAAGGAGGGTTAGCAACAGGGGAGTGGGAGGAGGAGAAGGGGGGGAGAAGGTACAGAAAATAAGTAGCATAGACAGTAGATAGAAAATAGATGGGGGGGCAAGAATAGCATGGGAAATATAGAATCTAAAGGACTTGAGACACATGGTCATAAACTAAAGGGGGGGTAATGGTGGGGATGGGGGGTAGGGTGGAGGGGAATGAAGGGGGGAATAGAACAACTGTAACAGCATAATCAATAAAAAATAAAAAAAATACTTAAAAAAAAGTCAATTTTGGTGCAATTGCCTAATGAAATACCCTACGTGAGCATAAACACTTAACACGAGATCCACCATCTTCACAAATTGTAGACGGACAATCCAGGATCGGTACTTATGGGTTCAATTCTAGGGCCGGTCTCTAGAATTCACACACCTTGTATGACCAGATCGTCGTACCCAGGGCCCTGCAACCTCCACGGCCCCTCTTGCTGCCCTTGGCAACCGCCTCTTGGCTTTGGAGTTGGCCTGTTTTAGATTCCTCCTCCCAGTGAACCTATGCACCATTTGCCCTTCTGTCTGGCTTCTGTCGCTTAGCACATTGTCCACCAGGGTCATACTCGTTGCTGCACATGGCAGAATTTCCTTCTTTAAGGCTCGATAACCATCCCTTGTTGTACAGATCTCATTTCCTTTATCCATTCATCCCTCAAACATTTTCCAGGACAGCTCATGTGTTAGGCCAAAGCAGTGTTTGAAACAGGCAGAAATGAGTGGGGAAGGAACCCAGGTCCACCCACGGGAGCGTGGGGCACTAAAACAGGTCTGGGCACTAAACGCTGAGCTGGTTATATAGTCAGCGTGGATAAAAACCATGTCTCAAACACGGAGGAAAGCTGTCAGTTGATGAAAGTGTTATACAGTAAGCCCTTTACCTATGTTTCCAAAGCCTCCATTAATACGATATATCGTTTCTGGTCAAAGACCACATAGCAAGAGAATAATGTGTGGCTGGGAACTAAATACTGCCAGGTCACGCTACTAAAAAGTTGGGCAGATAAGAGGCCATGGAAAGACAAGGAGCCTTAGCTGCTTTTGTCATTTTATTTCTCATTTTTATAAACAATTTTTGGCATAGCTTTGGTAATATTTGTATTATTCGGTATCATTCTGAATATATTCAGTGTTTTTTAAGAGCGTGGATGGAATACCATGAGCTAGAGATGTCCTGGTAATTTTTAACAACCGAGGTGTCAAAGGTCAGAGATCTGATCATTTGAGGCTCCTGATGAAATAACAGGTTTTATGCAGTGGCCGCCAGCAGTTGGAGGCAGGAGAACAAATATTTATCTTTGGGAGATGTAGAAGCCTTTCAACATCGTTCCCATGGGAACAGCGCTGCAGGAAGGCCGGCCATCTTCTCCTGCAATATTTTGTCAAAGGCTTCAGCTTGGGCCACCGTGAAGTGATTTTTTCACTCTACAGCAGTTCCTGAGAAACATAAAATGAGACTCAGATGAGAAGTAGGGTCGGGTCTCCAGTCCCCAACACCTCTCGGCAGCTAAGATCACAGAATGACTCCTGGATCCCTGGTGGGCCTTTTCCCTCCTGCAGCCACACCCGTGGGGCATATCCCCACTTCCCCGAGTCTGGAAGTGATTCCCTATCTTCTCCTCTCTCCCAGCCTACACTGCGTACACACCCTTCATCATCATGAATGCAGCTCTCTGTTCTGATGCATCTAGAATCTGGCCCTGTCTCTCCACCTCCATTTCTGCCACTGTGGCCCCAGCCAGCATCCTCTCTCTCCTGCGTTAGGGTATTGGACTTCTCATTAGTCTCTCTGCTGTGGATCTCTCTCCCTCTCCTTTCTAAGTTACTCTCATAATGGCAGTCATCCTGCCCTGGCTGGTGTAGCTCAGTGGATTGAGCGTGGGCCTGCGAACCAGACAATCGCGGTTCGATTCCCAGTCAGGGCACATGCCAGGGTTGCAGGCAGGTTCCCTGCAGGCCAGTTCCCAGCAGGGGATGCACGAAAGGCAACCATACATTGATGTTTCTCTCCCTCTCTCCTTCCCTTCCCCTCTAAAGATAAATAAATAAAATCTTTTAAAAAAAATGGCAGTCATCCTGATACCTTGAGAAACAAGATGGCTTGTTTCAGAGTGGCGTCACTTCCTGCTCAGAACTCCAAGCTCTTCTGGGGCCACTCGCAGAAAGTGCTCTGGCTTCCACAGGGCCTCTGGCGACTCGGTCCCCTCTCACTTCTCTGACTCCACCTCCCAGGACCCACCACTTGCTCACTCACCTCCCTTGCATTGAGCCTTCTGATTTGGCCTCCAATGTGCCAGGCACCCCTCCCTTCTCAAACTATTTGCAGTTCCCATCCCTTCTTCCTGGGATGCCTCTTGCCCAGGTATAGCCCTGTCTTGCCCGCTGGCTTCTTTCAAGTCTTCACTCTATTGCAGTTTTCTCAGTGAGGTTCTTTTCCACCCACAGCCCAGTTTAAAACTGATGATCCCCAATCGCTGCTTCTTATTTCATTTCATAACACTTATTACGTGTGACGTGCTTGGTTTTTCCTGTTTGTGTGTGTGTCTGCTGTCTGTATGAACTGTATCTCCAACGTGTTTTCAGAAAATCATAAACTTTTCTTTTTGAATCGCCAAAGGCTTAGTGTTTCCAGGCCATTGACACATAGCACGTACTCAAATATTTGTTGAAAAGATGATGAAAAGAGTCAGGGATGTACTATTATTTTCTCCATTTTATGGGTGAGAAAAAGAGACCCCGAGAGGCCGCACAGGCAGAAAGCGATAGATGGGGATTTGGAGCAAAAGACTTTGACACCAGAAGCCGTACTCTTAATTTCTCATCATATTATTACTTTGCATGTCATTTAGATGAATATGCATGCATTACATTAATATGTTAACTAAAGTAATACATTAGTGAAATTATCATACAACAGAACAATATGTACTTATATATAAACCAGAAGTAGATATTACACACTTATGGAAATGGAAATACTTTAGGAGAATGTCTAATGAGTAACCGCTGTCCTATAGCACCCTGCTGTCCCTCTTGGGCTCAAAATTTCATTGTTAGAACACTTTTTAACATTTATATTTAGAGAGAAGGGAAATGAGGGAGAAAGAAAGGAAGAAACATCAATGTGTGGTTGTTTCTCACATGTCCCCTACTGGGCACCTGGCCTGCAACCCAGGTTTGTGCCCTGACTGGGAATTGAACTGGCAACCCTTTACTTCAGAGGCCTGTGCGCAATCCACTGAGCTACACCAGCCAGGGCAGAACGCTTTTTATTGTAATTTCTTTTTGGTGCTCCTGAGTCCTCTGTAACACATGACTTTCAGGAAGCCACGCCCAGATCTCTTGGACCCAGACAGACTCTGTGTACATTCAGCTCAGCTGACCTATAGGAAACACCAGCTGAGAGACTGTGTCTGTTCAGGCGAACCTGAAAAATCAGACTGTTGGGAGAAATTGATAGCTATTCTAAGACACAGCAGTGACTAGAGAGTGATTCCATTTTGCAGCCCAGTTGTTTTCTTTTAGCTTCTCTGGACGACTGCTTATCGTCTGCATGCCAGAGATAATGCTCTGGTCCTTTTGCTTCTGTAAGCTGCCTCCTGCTTTCACACCAGAAGTAGGGTCCACAGGACGGGCCCTCCCTTGCTCTATAAAAATAACTGCTCCCCGCTGCTCAGGGCCCAGAGTTTGGAGACTGATTCCTCTGGGTCCGCGCACATAAAATAAAGTTCCACACCTGGAAGTGGCTGAATTTTTTTCTGTAATTAGACAAGTTGTCGGCTTCAAAAACTCAGTCACGGGAAAGGTACTGGGTGGATGGTCCGAATGTGAGTAATCAGAAAGAAGAAAGGGATCATGGGTCCAAAGCCAATTTATATCTAGAAGGTCATAGTTCATTAAATTTAAAACAATTTTAAAGTATAGTTGATATACAATCTTTGTTTCAGGTTCAAGACATTTATATATCTTATGCTGTGATACCATGATAAGTCTAGTAACCCTCTAGATTTTTTTAAGAAGGTGTTATATATTTATTTTTAGAAGAAAGGGAAGGAAGGAGGTAAAAGAGGGAGAGAAATGTCCATGTATGACAGATACTTCAGTTGCCTCTCACATGCCCCCAGCTGGACCCTGACCACGCCTGCAACCCAGGCATGTGACCTGACCGATAATCGAACCAACCACCTTTCAGTTTGTAGGCCCACACTCAATCCACTGAGCCACACCAGCCAGGGTTCCCTATAGATTTTAAGGATTGAGAATTTGAGTCTTTGTCTTGATGTTTTGACCTTGTGGCCCACTGGGATGGTGGCCCGCATCCCATCTGCCCTGAGTGGCAGCCCCCACCCATTTGTGGTCTTTTGAATCATTTACACACTTCTTTCCATTGATCATCCTGGATGATCTTGAATTACTACAGGGCTCTGGGAAAACAGGCTCCTTCCATCCTGTGTAGTGGACACTCTTCACTCATCTTTAGCCCAGAGATATGGATGCAATTAATCATCCACCACAGTGTCTGACAGCAACACGGCCTCTCAGTTGAGTGAAAGGTCTCTTCTTCCTCATTTTTTCCAGCTGAGTCGCTGTTTATACCCTTCTCTGTGCAGGCCGATGCTTTGTGCACACTCAGCAAGGGAGCAGCACCAGCAGGACCATCCCCGTGCCTGTCCTCGCCTCTCTGGTCCATCCCAGCTTGCAGCTCGGCAGGTGTGGCAAATGCACCTGGGAAAAATTTATGTTTGAAGAGGGGATACCCCCATGCCAGAATCAGAGGACAGAGAATCTGAATGCCCTACAAAGTCAGGTGACAATTCCATGTCTGATCAACTGCCTCCACCTGTCTACAGGCCAAATAAGTACTTGGAAAACAGACCCCCTGAGGAGAGCATACGAAGAGCCCTGGCTGGTCTAGCTCAGTGGATTGAGTACCAGCCTGTGAACAAGAGTTGCTGGTTCAATTCCAAGTCAGGGCACATGGGTTGCAGGCAGGGTCTTTAGTTGGGGTGGGTTGGCACTCGGGAGGCAACCACACATTGATGTTTCTCTGCCTCTCTTTCTCCCTCTTTTTCCTCTATGTTTAAAAGTAAATTAATACAATCTTTAAAAAAGAAGACCATGTGAGTTCTCTGGGGGATGAGCAGGTAAAGTCGACAAGTTCACACACTCCCAGGTGCCAACTAGTAGTGCCCTACTGTGCTGAGGAGAATGCCCTCTGCATACTCTGATGCATTCTGAAGGAGGGCCATTTTCACTTACCTTTTCGCATCAGGGATCCATTCTTCCCATCTACAAGCCAACTGGGCAGGAGTGTGTAATTGGACAACTTGTTTTCCCTCATGACTTGGAAGGAGCTATTCTTGAGCACTAAGTTCATTTCCTATGGTTCTAGCATCTTGCCCAGATATTGGCAGATCTTCTGTATAGCACTTCTTATGTCCTAGAAGAAGAAAATACCAAAGAGAGGACAGGAAAGGGAAGGTCATAGGAGAGGAGGTGAGAAGGGGAAACTGCAGGATGAGGAGCAGAAGGAGGAAGAGGAACAGCACAGAAAGGAGAAGTGTTGTGTTGGACGTGACCAGGAGGAAGAAAGGGAAGAAGGTGATAAGAAAGAGCACTACTAAGTGAAAGATGGAGTCAACATGAGTTTCCCAGTGTAACTGAATTCAGGACACTTTACCAGTAAAATGCGGGGCATAGTTTTTCTGAAGAGACTTTTAGAAAGTCTTGTGGACAATTATGATGAGGATTAAGGAAGGAGAGGTTTAGGGAAGACTTGGCAAAGATGTGAGGGATTGACTTCAAATCCTCAATGTCCCATTAAAGTAATACAGTATGTCATGAGTAACATTTGAATACCACATACAGATTTACAAGATCTTTAAAAAATTATATTTTATTGATTATGTTATTAAAATTGTCTTGATTTTTTTCTTTTGCTTCCTTGTACCCAGTGCCCCCCACTCCCTCAGGCATTCCTTCTAGCATGGTTCACATCCATGGGTCATGCATGTAAGTTCTTTGGCTTCTCAACCCCATGGCTATTCTGTAAATACCTATTTGTGCTTCTTATTCCCCTCACTTCTTCCCCCATTCTGCCCCTCCCCCCTCACAGCTAGAAACCTACCAGTAACTCTCTTCTTTCCCCTTACTGCTTTTAAGAGTCTGTCTTTTTCTTTAAACTTTGGTCTTTTAATTATGTGTCTTGGAGTGGGCCTCTTTGCATCCATCATAGTTGGGAGTCTCTGTACTTCCTGGACTTGTATGCCTATTCCCTTCACTGACTTAGGGAAGCTTTCTTTCACTATTTTTTTTTTTCAGATAGATTTCCAAGTTCTTGGATTTTTTTTTTTTTTTTTGTCATTCTGCATGGTAAATTTTGCTTCCTTATGTTCCAAATCATTAGTTTGATTCTCGGCTTAAACTGTTCTACTGTAGTTTCCCTGTGAACTGTTATTTGTTTCATTAGTGTGCCCTTCGTGCCTGAGTTGGTCCTCTTATGCTGCTGAGGTCCTCACTAAGGTCTCTGAGAATCTTCATAACCAATGATTTGAACTCTGCATCTGATAGATTGTTATCTCCAATTCATTTAGGTCTGTTTCTGAAATTTTGGTCTGTTCTTTCATTTGAACCATGTTTCTGTCTCCTTATTCTGGCAGCCTCCCTATGTTTGTTTCTATGTATTAGGTAGACCTGCTTTGACTCTGTGTCTTGGTAGTGTGGCCTAATGTAGGTATCTTATAGGGTCCAGTGGCACAGCCTCCCCTATCACCCAAGGTGGGTACTTGGATACTTGCGGTGTGCCCTTTGTGTGGGCTGAGTACACCCTCCTCTTGTAGTTGTATCTTGGTTGCTGTTGGCAGGTCAAAGGGAGGAATTTACTCAGGCCAGTTGGCTGCAATGACTGGCTATGACCACTGACCACCAACGTTCGCCCTCTGTGGAGGATCAGCTGTGCAGGGGCAGGGTGGTGGTGCGCCATCATGATCTGTAGCTGTCCACTGGGTGCAGAGACCCCTGGGTTTCCTGGGAGGTGCAGGCCAAGGTCAGCCCCCACCTGTGTTCTGCCTAGGGCCACCCTTCCTGAGCTATAGAGCAATCTGGGGTGGCTGCCACATGTGCTGGGCTTGCAGATTCCCAGGTGAAGTCAATACATGACCCTAGTCTGGCTGCCATTTGGGCTCACTGAAGCCGGTTATTACATGTTTGAGAAGATGTATAAACCATACTAGCCATTCTTACAGAAGGCAGCTTGGGTGGCCCCGTAAGTTGGGTGGGGTAGGGCCTCTGTGAATCTCCAAGGCAGGTCACACAGCATTATCCAGGTTGATAAAGTCTCAGAAAAGGCACTAGCCTACCGGCTCTGTGGGGGGGAGGGTTTAGCAAAGGGATAATGGCCCCTGCTCATCCCTATGCCAGACCCTTCAGTCTCCCCCTGTGCACCAGTGGTGCCTCCAAGCTTCCGGTGCTGGAGCTCAGAGGGAGTGAGTCTGAGTAGGTGAGTCCACCTGTGGGTTCCTAAGAGCAGCTGCTTATGGCTTCATCAGCCTCCTCCACCAACTCAGTCCCCGCTGGTTTTCGCAGCCAGAAGTTGTGGGCACTGGAATCCTGGGCCAGGGGGCCCACTGTGGGTCTGGAACTCCTAGCTCCTGAGATATTTCTCCTGAGATTTTGTGCACGTGGACGTGGGGCCAGCCCATTCTTCATCTGTGCCCCTCCTACCAGTCTGGATGAATGTGGTTTCTTCAATTCCATAGTCATCAGACCTCCATTCACCTTGATCTCGTAGTTGTCCAAGATCTTCTTATATATTATTTCAATAATTAGAACTTGGCACATGGTACCAGAAGGTTAATGTTATTATTAAAAATGAATATAATAGTAACACTTTGCTTTGAATCGTAGACATTTGTCTTAGAGCAACAGTGTTTTAAGAGAGTTTTTTCATTCCATGAGCCAATGAGCTATAAGAACAACAACAAAAAGCAGGACTGGAGCCGTTACCACAATAAAAGTTCATTTCGTGGCTTGAATGTACAAGTCCAGGGAGGCATGGAGGTGTGTACCTGGAGTTGCTAAGTGAGTCACAAAAGACTTCTGTTTAAAAATGGAGTTCACGTGGAAACCACAGAGGACTGGACAGAAGTGCCCAGAGGGGAGTGACATGTGTCAGACAGAAGCGCAAGCCTGTGTGGATGGTTTCTCCTCTTTTCCCCAAGATCCCACTAATAGGCCAAGGTCCTCCTTCCACGGCTCAGTCAGTCTTATTGGCTTGAACTCCATCTGACAGCGTCTCCTGCCCTTCAGCGGTCAGTCCAGCCCTTGGCCTGTCCGAACCAGTATGCAGATAGATTTCATGACTTCTTTTTCCTTCCATCAGTCAGGTTGGGTTGCCAGAGAGTTGGACACATCTCTGGAATCAAACCTGTCTTCTTCCCAGTTTCTTCTTGTTCCTTGGACCCCTCTTAGCATTGGGCTATCAGTAACACCTAGTGTGTCCTTCCCCTGCAAATTTTAGAACCAGTGTGAGGCTAAGGCCCTGTACTCTGTCTCAATGCACAAAAAAAGCCTTTAAGTCATGAATGAAACAAAGAAGAACACAAGGAGAAAGATAGCTCGGAGCTTGTGGGTGCTGAGCGGGAGCAGGACAATGAAGACTAGAGAGTTTCTTTCATTTCTAAGGACCCTCCCCAGGGCTAGACTTTGAGAAGGAAGAGAGACAGAGTCATGGATGGCAGTGAAGGCAGTGAAGATGGCGTTGAGATGGTGTGCTGAGCACCAAGTTATCTGCTTGAGCTCTTCGTAACTCACTATCAGGAAGTTCCCCTTCCCTCTCCTCGACATCCAGCCACAGGCATGGTCGAACCATGATCCAAAGGCCACTGCAGTGGGGGGGAGGCAGAGAGAGTGGGTGCGTGACAGGCTGCGTGGAGGCAGGCGCCCCGTGGTAGCTTCACTCTTGCGGTCACACTGGCTCACATGGTGTCTGGCACATTGACAAGTATTTGCTGAAGAACTGAGTGAGTGAGTGTGGAGATGGAGCATTGTCATCCATCGTTAGGTGTTTGACTGGTGTGAGCAGGGTGCTTTCAGAGCAGGCTCTGCCCCTGGTCACCAGGGCCTCCTGAGGAGACCTCCCCAGAGAGCTGGGGGGCCCGAGGACGGGCTTTCGTGCTGCCCCAACTGTGCCGAGTTTGGAGCTTTGGGTGGATGGGAAACTCTCAGAGCCCTGGACGCTCTTGTGTCTTCTTGCCCTCATTGTTGCGATGGCAATTATTGCTCCTTTGCAAACGAGCTGCCTTTCCTCTGGCTTATAATTTTCTTTCCAATTCCACCCCCCCCACGTTGGGGGCCACTTGGTGTGGTTTCAGAGTTTGTGTGTGGAGTTTTAGGGGGTAGAGAAGCAAGATGTCACGATAAGGATGACATTTTCAGGGCTATCGACTGGACTTTTTTACTCCCAGGAACAGCGGTGGCACCATTCCTACCACTTTCTCCATCAAATGGCAAAATCAAACAGAGTGTCCATGAGGGGGTTGTTTCCTTCTTGTTCGACTCCACCCCAGGGTTTCTCCAGTTGCCTGTTTTTGTTGTTTTTTTTTTTTTTCTTGAAAGAAGAATCCGAAGCAAAGCAGAACTTAGGGCTGAAGCATCCAGTCAGGAATAGCTCGATATGAACTATGCCCGTGGGCTTTGAATGCTGAACTTTTACTCTGCAGGCAAACAATTTGGGGACTGTGGACTTGTCCCTGGGTCACAGATGATTGCCACAACAGAGCCTAGAAGGTCCAAAGGGCATGAGGGGGGTTGGGAGGACACTGCTGAGACTGTCCGATTAATCCAGGTGGGAAGTAAACGTGATGCTGGTTCATGAAGCACGGAGGGAAGGGATGGCAAATTAATACTCCTTATTTAATGAAGGTGTATTAGCTGCTGAAGATGTGGCAAACACCACTCTAGGTCCCGGGGTTAACAGGGAACAGTACAAAGAGCTCACTCTTTAGTCGGGAGACACAGGAAACAGACACACAATTAGAATACACACTCGTTGGCACTGAGGGCCAAGGGAAGAAAGGGAGAATGCTAGAGTGCATTCTACTGGGGAGAAGTGCTATTTTACAAAGTGCTGAAAAGGAAGATTTAGCTAAAAACAGGCATTGTGGCAGAGACCAGAACGAAGACACTCACCAAGGTCGTGGGGTTCAGGTAAAGGGGAAAGGTGGGGGCATGGGGAGGTGGGAAAGCATCAGACTCACGCCAGCCCTTGGGGGAGGGATTGTCCTATTTATCCAATAATCCACTGAGGCAGTAGGAGCAGTTTGGGAGTTTCAGGACCACGTGCTTCATGTTGAACACACTGCATTATCCATATTTGTGGCTTTCTCCAGGGCAGGTGTCTGTGGGCTTTAGACAAACAAGTCTGAAGCTAGGGAGACATGTCCCAGCAGAATTATGGGATTCATCCTGCAGTTTCAGGAAAATTTGCAGAATTTCAAGTATCTAGGAACACCTAGAAACTCTGCCTCATTAGAAGGACAGAGACCTGACGGGGAAGCACACATCTTTGAGACAGATAGAACAAGAGGGAAAAGAGTATTTTATGAGGACACAGCTGAAAAATGCTGGCAGTGCTCTGGGCGGGAGCTCAGTGGGTTAGAGCGTTGTCCCGATGCACCAAGGTTGTGGGCTTGATGTCCGGTCGGGGCACACACAAGAAACAACCAATGAAGGCATCAATAAGTGGAGCAAGGAGTCTATGTTTCTCTCTCTTTCTAAAAGTCAAATTAAAATACATGAATGAATGAAGGAATGAGTGAACGAATGAATGAATGAATGGTGGCAAGTCAGAACAGTGTGGTCCAGGAGGCCAGTAAAAAACAGATGTTTAGAAAGCCCCAGGCGAGCTCTGCATTTGTATTGGACGACCAGGCTGGTTTGTGATGGGCCTCACTGAAAAGCCTGCGGGGTCTCTGCTGCCCTGTGAGAGCCAGTGAGATGATGAGAAACTGTGGGTCTCCAGTGGGGACGGACCCTTCACCCAACAGGGGAGGGAGAAGGAGGGCTGGTGGGCTGGGTGCAGGACGAGCTCTGGTGAAGGATGGCGGCCATTATCCAGCAGCCATATTTTTACTTACACTGACCACTTCCTTGGATGAACCATGTGAAATATTGTTCCAGTGACTTTGGTTTCTTAACAAAGTTGGAAATGATCCAGAATAAGTAGCTGGACACGAGAATGTGTCTTGGATTTCTGATGAGATAAGTCACCTTAAAAAGAAAAATGAGCCCTGGATGGTATAGCTCAGTGGATTGAGCGCGGGCCTGCAAACCACACGATCGTGGTTCGATTCGCAGTCAGGGCACATGCCTGGGTTGCAGACCAGGTCCATGCAGGCCAGTTCCCAGCAGGGGATGCACGAAAAGCAGCCATACATTGATGTTTCTCTTTCTCTCTTCCTCCCCCCTTCCCATCTAAAGATAAATAAATAAAATCTAAAAAAAGAAAAAAAATGACAGGGTGAATATGTCCGATCATTCCTCATCTTCATAAAAATGGAGCCCTGGCTGGTGTGGCTCAGTGGATTAAGACCTAGCCTGTGAACCAAAGGGTCAACGATTCGATTCCCAGTCAGGGCACAGGCCTGGGTTGTGGGCTAGGTTTCTGATCGGGGGCTTGTGAGAGGCAACCACACACTGATGTTTCTTTCTTCCTCTTTTTTCCTCCCTTCCATTCTCTGTAAAAAAATAAACAAATAAAATCATTTAAAAAATCAATAAGCACATCCTTGGATGAAGATTAAAAAAAAAATGAGTGTGAGGACTTCTGCCAAGATGGAAGCATAGGTAGAGATGCTGTGCTTTCTCACACAAACAATTGTAGAGACAATAAAATATTAGCAACAGAAAACACAGCCAGAACACAGAAAATTGAACTTTTCAGAAGTTTGATAACAATGAATTCTTCAGCCTGACCGGTAAGAGGGGCGAAGCCAGCAGCTAGGAGAGCGTGGTTGCACAGGGAAAGTCCGTCAGACAGACTCAGGTGCGTGAATCCCAGGCATGGGGTAGCAAAGGGTGGACCCAGTGAGTGACCCAGTGAGCAACCACCGGACCCAGCGAGGGTGCAGGGCAGTGTGTTGAATGTGGTCACGCGTTCATGAGCAGATAGACCAGTGAGAAAGTGGGCTGTGAGATGGGACCCAGCAAACCCCAGCAGCGAGAGGCAGCAGAGGGGGCCGCCATTTCTTTGCTCTGACCCTGCCCCCACATGCAGCATACAACCCAGAGACTTGGGCGGCCCTGGCCTGATAAACACGTAAGGCTCTGCTCCTCATAATTAATGGGTGCAAACAGATAAAAAATGGCTCAAGAAGATCTCAAAGCCCCAGAGCCCATAACTTTAAGCGATGAAGAAATAGCAAAACTTTCAGATGCACAGTTCAAAACACTGGTGATCAGGATGCTCACAGAACTGGTTGATTTTAGTCACAAATTAGACGAATATATGAAGGCTAAACTAATTGAAATGAAGGGAATTGCACAGGAAACCAATAGTGATGAAAAGGGAACTGGGACTCAAATAAAGGGAGTGAACCAGGAGGAAGAAAAAAATGACCAAACAGAAAAATATGAAGAAACAAGAATTCAAAAAAATGAGGAGAGACTTAGGAACCTCCAGAACATTTTTAAACGCTCCAACATCTGAATTATAGGGGTACCAGAAGGGGAAAAGGAACAGCCACCAGTGGAAAACTTATCTGAACAAATAATAAAGGAGAACTTCCCCAATATGGCAAAGGCAATAGACTTCCAGGAAATCCAAGAAGCTCAGAGAGTCCCAAAGAAGTTGGATCCAAGAAGAAACACACCAAGGCACATCATCATTACATTAGCCAAGATTAAAATGAAGTAAAGAATCCTAGAAGCAGCAAGAGATAAGGGGACAGTCACCTACAGAGGAGTCCCCATCAGACTGTCAGCGGATTTCTCAAAAGAGACCTTACAGGCAAGAAGGGGCTGGAAAGAGGTATTCCAAGTCATGAAATCCAAAGACCTACAACCAAGATTGTTCTATCCAGCAAAGCTTTCATTTAGAATGGAAGGACAGATAAAGTGCTTCTCAGATAAGAGCAAATTCAAGGAGTTCATCACCACCAAACCCTTATTATATGAAATGTTAGAGGAATTTATCTAAGAAAAAGAAGATAAAAAAGATGAACAGTGAAAGAACAGCAAACTCACAGTTATTAACAACCACACCTAAAACAAAAGCAAACTAAAAGGACAGCTAGATCAGGAGTGGAAACATAGAAATGAAGATCTCAAGGAGGGTTAGCAACAGGGGAGTGGGAGGAGGAGAAGGGGGGAGAAGGTACAGAAAAGTAGCATAGACGGTAGGTAGAAAATAGATAAGGGGGGCAAGAATAGTATGGGAAATATAGAATCTAAAGGACTTGAGACACATGGTCATAAACTAAAGGGGGGAATAGTGGGGGTGTGGGGGTGCTGGGTTAAGGGGAATGAAGGGGGGAATAGAACAACCATAATGGCATAATCAATAAAATATTAAAAATGAGCGAAACCAATCTATAGAGTGAGAAGTCAGTGGAGCGATCCCCTCTGTGGATGAGCATTGACTGGGAAGTTGCAGAGGGAATGTCATGGGGGAGTAGAAATACCTTAAATCAATGTCTGGAAGGTGGCTGCCCAGTCGTGTACACACGTAAAGATTCGACAACCCAATACTCCAGATTAGTGAAAATATTCGCACACCTGCAAGGACCTCAGCATTTGAATATTGAAGGTATATGCTGGATTCTGCACCAGCTTTCTTTGTGAAATGATTCCAGGCTTCAACTCTCTCTAGGTCTCAGTTTCCCTGTGCAGGGATTAAAAAAAAAAAACCTGAGGAATCGCAATGTGAATACATTCAACACTGAAATTAGGGGTGGTATAAAGAAGCCTGAGAAGTGATGGGTTGAAATAAAAAACTTCATTTTCTTTACCCAATCTTGTACTGAAGGACACTCAGGTTGCTTCCATATCTTGGCTATTGTAAAAATGCTGCAATGAACACAGTGATGCATATGTCTTTACAAATTAGTGTTTTGGATTTCTTTGGGGATGTACAGTATACCTTAGAATCTAGTCAATATATTATAATAACTATGTATGGTGCCAGGTGGATACTATACCTACTGGGGTATCACATCATAATTCTACAAATCTCTAACCACTCTGCTGTACACCTGAACCTAATATAGTATTGAATACTGACTGTAATTGAAATATAAAATTGAAAAAAAATTTTTTTACTGTGCTGTGACACATGGTGAAGTTTCCACGAGAAGAGAATATTATTCTAAGCTTGGCAATCTAACTGAAGCGCAAAACACTTGTAAAAAATCACAAACTAGCTTGCACCATCTAGGAAAGTGTGTTGTTAAACATCATCTGAGATGTTCTAAGATTCCCGCGATCCCTTGTGGTGGCATCTGCAAGCCTCACGAGAGATTCACGTGGCTGCTAAGCTCAACAGGCAGCTGGATCTAGGGAGACACAGTACTGAGTAAGGCCGGGCATGGTGCTGGAGTGACCACCCTGGATTTAGCCTTCGGTTATGCATTTTCTGCTTCCCAAATGGCCACCTGTATGTCTACTGCTCCCATCTGAGTGGCAGAAGGCGTTTATTTAATCAAGACAGACTTATTATTTTTTAAAGATTATATTTATTTATTTTTAGACAGAAGGGAAGGGAGGGAGAAGGAGAGGGAGAGAAACATCAATGTGTGGTTGCCTCTTGTGCCCCCTACTGTGAACCTGGCCCCCAACCCAGGCCTGTGCCCTGACTGGGAATCTAACCAGCGACCCTTTGGTTCACAGACTGTGCTCAATCCACTGAGCCACACCAGCCAGGGCTAATCTGACTTAAAAAAAATATCATGAAAGAATGTAATGTAAACTGTTACATTCTTTAAGCCTCCTTAACCATTTTTGAGCATACAGTCAAGTGGTGTTGAGTATATTCCCACCAGTGCACAACCAATCTCCAGAAACTTTACATTTGGCAAAACTGAAACTCTGTACCCATTAAACAACAACTCTCCATTCTCCCCTCCCCTCCGTCCTTGGCAGCCCCCACCCTCTTTCTCTCTTAGCATTTGGTCACTCTCCGCAGCTCATGGAAGTAGGTCAGGTGGTATTTCTCCTTCTGTGACTGGTGTCTTTCACTTAGTGTAACGTCGTCAGAGTCCCCCCATGTCGTAGGCTGTGTCAGAACTTTGTTCCTTTTTCAGGCTGAAGAATATTTCATTTTATGTATACACCACGTCTCGGTCATTCATTCATCTGCCAGTGGACGTCTGGATTGCTTCCACCTTTTGGCTGTTTGCCTAAATCCATTGCCCTTGACTTTTCACTGCGGTGCCTCTGCCAGCATCTCCAGCTTCAGTCCGTGCCCGTCTTGTATTTTTTTTCTGCTTCCCATTTTCCTCCTAGAGATGCGACCCACACACTGTCAGTCTCTCAACTTGGCCAGGCTTGTTTTCAATTCCTGCCCATCGTCCATGCTGATACCTTTACTGAAAATATCTCTTTTCGTGAAATAGTTTCACATTCACTTATTTCATCACGATTTAGATGCTTTTTTAAAAATCTACTCCTTATTTTTTGGGTCTGGTAGAGGTGTCATATTCACCCTTTCCTCCCAGGTTCATTCAGATATACTTGACCAATGAAAAGGGACTTATCTAAGAAAAAGAAGGTGAAAACTACAAACAGTAAAATGACAACAAACTCACAGCTATTAATAACCAAACCTGTAAACAAAAACAAATTAAGCAAACAACTAGAACAGGAACAGAATCACAGAAATGAAGATAACATGGAGGGTTATCGGTGGGGGCATGGGAGGAGGCGTACGGGGGGAAATGTACAGAGAATAAGTAGCATAGATGGTAGGTAGAAAATGAACAGGGGGAGGGTAAGAATAGTATGGGACATGGAGAAGCCAAAGTAGTTATATCTATGACCCATGGCCATGAACTAAAGCAGGGGAATGTGGGTGGGAGTGGATGGGCAGGGCAAAGGGAAAAATGGAACAACTGTAATAGTGTAATCAATAAAATATATTTAAAAAAATAAATGAGTTTATTAATATGTGCATAGGGGGCCCTGGCTGGTGTGGCTCAGTAGATTGAGCACAGGCCTATGAAGCAAAGGGTGGCTAGTTTGATTCCCAGTCAGGGCACATGCCTGCGTTGCAGGCCAGGTCCCCAGTAGGGGGCGTGCGAGAGGCATCCACACATTGATGTTTCTCTGCCTCTCTTTCTCCCTCCCTTCCCCTCTCTAAAGAGAAAGGAAGGAAGAGAGAGAGAGAGAGAAAGAGAAAAACAAATTGTGACACAGGCCACAACACAGATGGACCTGAAGGACATAAGTGGAGTAAGCCAGCCACAAAAGGACAAACATCTCATGTCTCCATTTATAGGACATAACTTAGGGTAGTTGAATTCATAGAGGCAGAAAGTTAAGTGGTGGTTTTTGGGGTCTGGGGTGGGCAGGGGGGGAGTAGAGGTTGTTTAATGGGGACAAAGGTTTAGTTTTGCACAATGGAAAACGTCCTGGGTGTTGGTTTCCCAACAATATGAATGTACTTCCACTGGTGAGCGGTACACTTAAAAATGATTAAAGTGGTAAACTTTATGTTCTGTGTATTTTACCTCAATTTAAAAAAGAAGAGTGTGTAAAGGGAGTCCAGCTTGGGGTCTGTGGGTTCAGACCACTGAAATTATAGAGCCCCCCTTTTAATGAACACAGTATCTGTATTCCCCTTCCACATGCTGAGCATCATGCAAGATGATGGTGTCCATTATTCTATTCAGTCTTCCAACAGCTCCCAGAGGTCAATGCCATTGTTCCTCCTTCCCAAGTGGATTGCATCCTCTGATTAAGGTGACCCAGAGAAAAAAGGGTCCAAACCCCAGGTCCGTCCGAGATTTCTACTAAGCCATCTTGGATCCAGGAAGCGTTACTTCGGCCCATTCATTCTTTCCAGCTTCCCAATCCTCCCCATGATTTTCCAGTGATTTCCACTTCCACTTGTCTCGTAGGAGGAGAGGAGGAAGGTCGTCCACCCCAACAGGTAAATGGACCATCGGTTCATCTCCGCCCGCCTCTTCTTTCTGGATAGAAGGAAGACAAAAATTACGCTCATGTGGACCACTTTTTTTGTTCCACTAAGTCCCAAGTTTGATGTCACACATGCCATTTTTTATTCTGTTGCCAGAGAGGAATAGAGAAGGACATTCTTGCCCTGGCTGGTGTGGTTCAGTTGGTTGGGGATCATCCTGCACACTGAAGAGTCATGGGTTCGATTCCTGGTGAGGGTGCATGCCTAGGTTGCAGGTTCAGTCACTAGATGGGGTGTGTAGCGAGGGCAATCAATCAATGTTTCTCTCTCACATTGATGTTTCTCTTCCTCTCTGCCTCCCTCCCCTTCTTTCTGAAAATAAATAAGAAAAAAAATTTTTTTAAGTGGAGTCTTTCCCCTGGCCAGGTAGCTCAGTTGGTAGGAGCATCATCCTGATACACCAAGGTTGTAGGTTCAATCCTTGGTCAGGTCACATAAATATTCAACCAATGCATGCATAAATAAGTGGAACAACAAATTGATATTTCTCTCTTAAATCAACAAATTAAAAAAAAATTTTAAGTGGAGCCTTCGAGAAGTGATTGGGTCATAAGGATGGAGCCCTCCTGCATGGGATTCGTGCCCTTAGAAAAGACACCCCAATGAGCCCCTTCACGCCCTCCACCACGTGAGGGCGAAGTGAGAAGACAGTCCTCTACGAGGATGGGACATCACCAGACACCAAATCTGCTGGTGCCACCGTCTCAGGCTTCCCAGCCTCCAGGACCACGGAAAAGAAACCCCTGTTGCTCATACCCCACCTGGTCCATAGTAATTCTGCTCCAGCGGCTGCAGTGACTAGGACAGTGTTTTTCCTGCTCTCTCATCACCTCAGAAATAAAGCTGTGCCCTCCTTGTCCCCTCTCTACGTCCTATTGGTCTCCAAATCCAATGGACTCTGATTTGTGAATCCCTTCCTTTCTCTCTGTCTCTCTCTCATTGACCACAGTCCGGCTCTTCCCATCTCCCCCGACACTGCTTCCTGTCCCCCTCCCCGAGTCCCTGGCCTCCAGCCTCTCCCCTGTCCCATCCTCCAGGCGGCTGATAGGACCTGTCTTGGAGCGTGTTTTTATGCACTTGGGGCTAGATGCTGGGCCTGGAGCAATGTGTGGACTGGGCTTGGCCCGTCCCTTCACCAGGATGAAGTGGGGAGAGGTGGCATTCCTTAATTCAAAACTCTCCATCAAATTAATAATAAAACCCATGTCCACACCATGGCCTTCCTCTCCCAGCCTGTCCGTTCTGGACAGAATGGACTTTTCCTCCCTTGATCCGCCCCAGTCACACCTGCCTTTTCAGTGTCTTGGACAAGCCAAGCTGCCCGAACCCCAGGGCCTTTGCACTTCCTCCTCTCTCTGTCTGGGATCCTGCTCCCAGCCCCCAGATGTCTGCATGGCTTGTTTCTTTGTGTTATAAAGGGTTCTGTGCAAATGTGGGGAGTTGCTTTGGACTGACGTTCTGGATCACTGATAAGTCCACTTGGATGGAGTCACAGATATTAATAGGAAATATTCTGGAGGTGTTTGAGACAATGACTGAACTGTAAAGTGAGGCTCAATAGCCAGACACCCACATCTGGAACATTCTGTTTAGGACTGAGGACGTTCCAACACTCGAAGGAGCCTCTGTCCCAGGCTGTGGGGAGGCTGGGGTTGGCCCCCTGCCACAGTCACCTTGCTGTTGGCTGTTCAGAAAGAGTGCACTGCAGCCGGGAGTCAAACCAGGGTCAGACAGGGGCACAGCCTCCCAATCACCAAACTCTGGAGAAGAAAACCCACCTCGAGATCTTTTTAAAAAAGTAATTTAAGTCCGCAAGTGTCCATTTAATAGATAAGTTAAGTGATATTGAAAAGAGCTGAGTGCTGCCCTGGCTGGTGGGGCTCAGTGGATTGAGCAGCAATCTGTGAATCAGGAGGTCACCAGTTTGATTCCCAGTCAGGGGACATGCCTGGGTTGCAGGCCAGGTCCCCAGTAGGGGGCGCGCCAGAGGCAACCACACATTGATGTTTCTCTCCCTCTCTTTCTCCCTCCTTCCCCTCTGTCCTAAAATAGATACATAAATCATTTTTGAAAAAATTAAATATTTAAAAAAATGATAACAGCCAGCACAAAAATCGCCCTCCAGTGTGAATGAATCACAATTACACCTAATTTTTTTGTGAGACCAGCAAAAAATAGACTTTTTGGTGGGCTGTAGAATTTTAGTGATTCGTTTATGTGTGCCTCCAGATGAAAAAGATTGAAAATCGCTGCCTTAGAGGGCTGCAAAGACTCACAGAACCACAATGATATTCGTCCACCATCGAGAACTTAACAGCCAGAGTGAAAGGAGGATGGGAGGAGGCGGAGGGAAAAGGGGTAAATGGCGACGGAGGGAGACTGGACTTGGGGTGGTGAGGACTCGGCTCAGTGCACAGAGGGTGCGTTGTAGAACCGCGCACCCGGAACCCATACCGTTGCATTAACCAACGTCACCCCCAAAACTCAATGTAAAAAAAGAACTCCGTGGGCAATTTGTCCAGACTAGTTCCCTTTTCTTCCATCTCTTTTCCCCAAACTCAGGGTACAGGCAGACCCCCCACTCCCTCCAGGGTCCGAGCAGAGAAAGGGATCCTTCCGCCCCAGGCCGCCTTCCTGCCTCCTCTGGCCCTTCCTCCCAGACCTCTGACCTGCGCTGTCCAAAGTCCAACCATCCGCCACTAAGACGGAGCCAGCACCTGAAATGGGGTGATTTCCAATTGTCAGATGTGTAAAATGAGGGTGAAATACTTGCTGGAGCCCTGGCCCGTGGGCTCAGTTGGTTGGAGCATCGGCCAGAGCACCCAAAGGTTGCAGGTTCGATCCCTGGTCAGGCCGCATACCGACTGACGTTTGTCTACCATACTGATGTTTTTTCTCTTCCTCTTTCTCTCTCCCCCTTCCTCTCTCTCTAAAATCAATAAACATATCCTCGGGTGAGAATTAAAAAGAAATAAGATAAAGCCTGAAAAAATAATGTCAATATCCAATGATTTTTTGCGTGTGGATTACATGTTGAAATGATCATATTTGAGCTACCAGGGTTCACCAGATACATTATTAAATAAACTGCACCTGTTTCTTCTTACTTTTTGCAAACCGTCGCCACTACAAGACTTACAGTAAGTGATCTAGACGGCCTGCCTTCTGTTCTCTCTGGTGGAGCGGGCTGCGTTAGACCCTGCTTCCCGGCTGGGGGTGGGGGCGCCCAGGCCTTGCTCCCCTCCCCCTCCCAGGTCTCTAGGTTGAGCTGTACCTTTGAGGGAGTCCTGCTTTGACCCTACCTGTCTCCACGGCCCACTTTAAGGTTCTGCTCCCATGAACTCTGGGTTATCTGGGGATCCGCCCAACTGTTTGGGCCTCGACCTGTCTGTGGGCAGAAGCGGCAGCTGCCCCAGGGAAGGTTTGGGGGGAGTGGTTACAATCGGAGCAGTTTGCACTGCAGGGCCCCAGGGTCAAGGATGGCCCGAGGTGCGCTCATGGGTCCATGAGGCCCAGGACATTTAGTCACGTGGGCACTATGGGCCCTGCGGGAGCTGGAGTAGTGGGCGAGAACACGGCTGAGCAAGCAGAGAGGAAAGCGCCCTCCTCGCAGGCTGCAATCAAAAGACAGGTTTCGGCTGCCTGACGAATGTCCATGACCCCGAGGGTTTTCTAGTGAAAAGGGAAGCGTGGGAGAATCAAAACTCGCTCTCTGGAACGCATGGTCTGCTTCTTCCTCATGTTGAAATTCTGGCCCACCCTTCTGAAAACACTCGCCACGCGTCCCTGCGCCCCCTGTTGGCGCGGTGCAGGGTGGGCACTGAGGTCTCCCCAGCTGCACCGCCCAGGCCTCCTCGTTTGCAGGCCAGGCCTCGGAGGCACCTGCAGAGGGACTTGTCAGAGGCCTCGCAGCCAGTTGGTGGGGACAGTGGCCCTTGAAGCAATGCCTTTGGGGTCTCATTGTACTGTCCCTGCCCTGGCATGGTGTCATTTCACAGGCTTGGGTGTTTTCAGAATCAGAGGCTCTGAGGTTGAACGTTCTCACATCCCCACCTCTTTACCCCCATTTTCTCACTCTCTCTGTGTCTCTGCCTTTACTTCTTTCTCTGCCTTTCTTGTACCATCTTTCATCTTCCCTCTGTCCCTCTATGCCCTTGTCTCTTTTTCCCATCTCTCTTTTCTTAAGATTTTATTTATTTATTTTTAGATGCAGAGGAAGGGAAAAAAAGAGAGGGAGAGAAGCACCAATGTGTTGATGCCTCTGGCGTACCTCCCATCAGGGACCTGCCCTGTAACCCAGGCATGCACCCTGACTGGGAATCAAACCAGCGACCCTTTGGTTCGCAGGCGGGTGCTCAATCCACTGAGCCACACCAGCCAGGGCAGCTGTTTTCATTTTTAATATGCATAACCTCAGTAATACTAACAAGGCATGTGTGCAAAGTCATCCTATTAGGTTAATATTCACTTTAAATACAAGTCTGTATTCTAGGTATACTGGCAAGTATATGTTACATAGTTTATATGTAGAAGTTATGTCAGTAAGATGATACGTCTGATTAGTTTGTGCAAAATGCAGCCATAATCAAGGCTATTGTGAAAGCAACATGAAAAAGTGAGTTATGAAGAAATTTCAGATGTATAGAATAAGGAAATGGATCAATGATTTGTATGAAAGTTGTGAAAGTTAGTCAACTTTCAGGAGAACATTACCTCCTTTTGGGGTAAAATCCTGGTGTGACTTACATCACAAACAAGGCAGAATGATAGAGATTCAGCGTTTGCCTGTATCTACACCCATAGGTATATAGTTACCTGGTATTTCAGATTCGTGCTATGAAACAGAGTCTTTAGGAATCATATTTATTCCATTTAGGCCATGGATCTTTTTTCAAATCCTGTTTTGGAATTCTTCCAGTATTGTGAGCACAAGTTAAAAGAAAAGCATAATGATAATGTTGCCATTCTTCACATTAATTATGGGAAACCCTCTTTTCTTCTAGATATCTTCAAGAATACAAAGAGCATAAAAAAGGGAAAAACGTGACAGAGAAAAATGGGATATGCTAATCTATTTTCTTGTCGTTCATCACACCTCAAAACAGCAGACTTTACCAAAAATATCTTGAGGAAAGCGTTCCTGTGAATCTATGAAAACAAAGAGTTTAGATAATTTTTCAGTGAGGGCTCTGCTTGGGCAACAGGTTTTAGTAGTTGAAGATTTTTGAGATGTGAGCAAATAAATCCTAGATGCAACGCTCCAGGAAAGAAAAGGGGGGATTAAAAAAACTTCCCCCTGAATTATACTCTTCTGTATAGACAAAAAGTTTAATGACCCCATTAGATGTGCTCATTCTTAGCCCATTCATCAATACGCAGGCAATATGCAGAAATAACATGAAGAAAAGAAGTTAAAAATAAATAGCAAGATGGGTGAATGAGAAATTTAACTCTCTTCTGCTTCATTTGCTTTCTAAGGGATTCTTGGCTCTCCTCAGGCTAATAACAAAGTGAACCCGATTCAGGAAATATTTGCAGAACATGAAATTGGTGCTGTGCCTTCCGACTGCGATTGCTGTGGAGGAAAGATGGTGATTCAGGGATTGCAAGTGGAACATGCTCTGGTTTTGTGCTCATAAAGAATCAACCAGAATAGCAAAAAGATCGTGAGCCAAGGACCAATGGTTATGTTTTGGAATGTACCCCAGACCTGCCTTATCCTGTTTTGGTGAAAGATGTTCAAACGAGAAGGGGAGGCAGCTGTCATGGCTGAAGTCTGTCTGGATGATGAAGATGCTGACCCGGGCGTGCCCTGGCTGTCTGCGTCACCGGAGAAAGGCTGGCTGACCAGCACAGTCTGTGCACAGAAAGGCTGCAGAAGCACTAAATCCAGGGCACTGAGGATGGAGGTATTTCTGCCAGATCCTCGCTGATAGCAGAACAAAGCCACAGATCATGCAGCCAGACCATCAAAACATGCACGGAACATTCATTTGAAGAACGTTCTGCATCCCCGTGTTCACCGCAGTATTATTTGCAATAGCCAAGGTAAGGAAGGAACTTAAATGTCCCTCCATAGATGGCTGGATAAAGAAGATATGGCACATACACATGATGGAATATTACGAGGCCCTGAAAAAGAATGACACATTACCATTTGCGACAGCATGAATGAATACCTAGAGGGTATTATGCTAAGTGAAATAAGTCAGACAGAGAAGGACAAACACCATATGATTTCACTTATATGTGGAATCTAACGAGCAACATCAACTAACAATCAGAAACATAAATACGGCAAGCAGACAGATGGCTGTCAGATGGTGGGGGGGGCTGGGGGCTGGGCAGAAAAGGGGAAGGGATTTAGAAGTGCAAACTGGCAGTTATGAAATCGTCACAGGCGTGTAAAGCACAGCACAGGGAACACACTGAATAATAGTGTGATAACCATGTAGGGTACTAACTAGGTGGGTGCTGGGCTTGCGGAGGGATCAGTTCACCAATTATACAGATGTCTGACCACTTCACTGTACACCTGAAACTCACGTAACACGGAATGTCCACTGTTATTAAAAAACAAAACAGAACAAAAGAATACTACTTACTACGAGAAAAAAATGGACTTTTGTTATTTGAAAGAAAGAAAGAAAGAAAGAAAGGAAGGAAGGAAGGAAGGAAGGAAGGAAGGAAGGAAGGAAGGAAGGAAGGAAGGAAGGAAGGAAGGAAGGAAGGAAGAAAGAAAGAAAGAAAGAAAGAAAGAAAGAAAGAAAGAAAGAAAGAAAGAAAGAAAGAAAGAAAGAAAATGAAGAAAAAGAACCCACCCTAGGTCGTCAATTCCACCACACCAAACTCCACCCACCCACAGGGGAACACACACCAACACCAGGCCCCCAAACCCGCCCCTGTAGGAAAAGTTCCGATCCCCTGGCGCCTGCGCAGTAAGCTCTCATTCTGTCGCAGTAATGAAACTCTCAGAGACTTGCCTCCTGTCTGCTGGCTGGTGGACTTTGCAGTAAAAGACTTGCCTTCCCCAAAGGCCAAGGCCATCGCATTGGCCTCTGTGTGGGCAGGGCAGCCCTCCCTCACTGGTCACAGAAGTTGGACTGGGCCACAGGAATGGACGCCGAGGTGCTGCCAGAAGTCCCTAAGGCCTGTTGCCCCGTCTATGGACACATCGGTAGAGCCAAGATTTAGGGACAAAGGGGCTCCCGTGATTACAGCGAGCACCGACTCTTCCAGTTGCTCAGTTTCCCCAGAGGTAGGTTAGCCAAGAAGGAAAATCCACCAGTGCGAAGCCAGAGTCACGCAGGGGAGAGCATCTGGTTTGACAGCTGTTGATGTTTGGATGGTTGTAGTGTTCATTCCTTTGCCATTGTTCCCAAGAAAACTCTTGCCTTACGTTTAAAAAAGACAAGAGACAAAATGACAGACATGCTTTCAACTTTTAAAAACCTGAAGAACACAAGAGAGTGTGTTTCAGACTTCACCATTTGTGTTGCTCTGCAGAGCTGGGAACTGCCAGTGAGCAGAAGTCTTGTGTCACTTTCCCCTGAGAGCTGCAAGGCGGCCTGCAGCCTGGGGGTGCGGGGGTGGGTTGGGGGGAATCTCCAAGGATCGCAGGGGCACCAGGTCTGCACACACAGGGTCAGGGTCAGGCTGCCTCCCTGAGCCTCTCCCGGGGACTTCAGCCTCGGCATTGGGACCCGGAGGAGGTCTAAGGCACAGACGCACCCAGGACTGCTGGTGTGACCCTTGAAACTCCTCCTCTTGACAACAACCTGAAATTCCTCCCCAGGACTCTTCTAGTCCTCATCTATGTTTAATGCCAGTTACCTTAAATATTTTCTTTTTCTGGGTTTCTTCCTACACGAAGTAGGTGTCTAGCTTTGTGGCCGAGAGGACGGGGGAGGAAAGGTGAAAAAGAAGAAAAAAGAGGAGAAAGAGGGAAGGAGGAGGAGCAGGAAGGAGATGGAGGAGGAGAGACAGCAGGAGGAGGAGGAAGGAGGAAGACAAGACATCAAAGTAGGGAGAGGCTGCCCTGGCTGGTGTGGCTTCGTGAACTGAGCCCCCAAAACCAAAAGGTCACTGGTTCAATTCCCAGTCAGGGCATGTGCCTGGGTTTCAGGCCAGGTCCCCAGGTGGGGGCATGACAGAGAAAACTGTCTCTTGTACATCGAAGTTTCTCTCCCTCTCTTTCTTCCTCCCTTCTCGTCTTTCTAAAATAAGTAAAAAAAAATAATAATAATAAGCAGGCAAAATCTTTAAAAAAAAAAACCAACCCAAACCTTTAAAAGTAGGTAGAGGAGAAGGGGCCCAGGGACCACGGAGAAAAGAGGGGGGCGGAGAAGGAGGAAGGAGAAGCATGGAAGGAGGAGGGGGGAGGGGACCCGGAGGAGGCGTGGCCGTGGCTATAAAGCCCCGCGGGGAGCCGCCCCCGCGTCCCCGGGAGTGGAGCATGGAGCTGTGCTCCCGGCTGCTGCTGCTGTGGCTCTGCCGCCTTCTCTGCGTGGCCAGTCAGTACCTCCAAGGTGAGGAGCTGGTGTCTGGGGTCGGGCACATCCGACGCCTCTGTCATCCAGTCTGAGATGCTGTGTGGGGGGAAGAGTCGCCCCAGTTTCATGTGCTTCTACGAAAGAAGAAGGTGCTCTCTGTCTTTGTCAGGTATTTCCCGTGAACAGACAGGATCCACTCACAGGCTTTAAAAAAACAGTAACCAGCCAATAGAAACGGAAGATTAGGAATGTCCGCTGGAAATGTCAGTGGGCAGAAGTCGTTTACTGGACATCCATGTATCACCTCCCTTCTCCATCATATTTTATTATTATTAGTTTTAATCCTCAAGAACATTTTCACTGCTATTTAGACGGAGAGGAAGGGACCGAGAAAAGCACTGATGGGAGAGGGAAGCACTGATCGGTTGCCTCCTGTAGGAGGAAGAGGGAGACCATCAAACTGGCAACCCAGGCACATGCCCTGACCGGGAATCGAACCTGCAACCCTTCAGTTACAGAATGATGCTCCAACCAGCTGAGCCGCACCGGCCAAGGCAGTGCTAGCCTATTTTTGAGAATAAGCAGCCAGTACACACGTGTTGAGATCCTGCCTGTGGTCTCATCTTTGAGAAGAGCAGCTAAAAATCTGGGAGCCACGCACGATGCTTTATCCATTTGTTTGAGGTGTCCTGTGATTTCAGGATGTGCCGGATATGAAAGCCTTCTCAACTTGAATCTGGGAGCAGTGTTTAGTGGAAATGAGTTGTCTGTGGTTTGTGAAAACGCACACTGGAGTGAGTCATCAGGGAGGGGAGAAAATGATGGTGGTTACTTTAAGAAAAGAAATCTTCGTCTTTGCAATAAGGTTGTGACCACACGCTAAGTGCTTTCTCTGTGCTCTGGGCTGCACGGGGCCCTGAGAAATCCCATCCTTGAATCCTCACAGCAAACCTGCAGAGAATTGCATGGCGAAGATTTTCTTTAACAGGCAAAAAACCGAACTTGATCTTATTATAAAAGCCAAGGACATGTCAACACATTTTTCTTCAATTTGTACCTTTCAGATAATACTGACAAGAACTAAAATAACATGAAACAAAAGAATGAGGAAATGATTTTTTAAAAAGTTCTCCCTATTATAGTGTGATTAACTTTGCAGAAACGTGTGGAAAAAAGTAAATCACTTACTTTGGCCTGATGAATTATTTTTGTTTTTTCAAATGATTTTCATTGTTTGTGTTCAGTGACGCTATTTGGAGGATACAGGTGTGGCGAAAGAAAAAATTAGAAATCACCCCTAATCACACTATTAAAATTAAGCACTAATGAAATCTGAATGCACCACCTTTAAAACACGATTATTCTTACTAGAATATAATTTGGTAAAGTATTTTCTTATCATTTGGTTCAAAGGCTAAATCTAGCAAAATAAATATTTGTTTAAAATTATGTCTTTCAGATGGTGGTATGCCGAATTATGGTAAGTTGATCAAAACCCTTTCATTACAGTTTCTTTTTAAGTTTTGCAGTATAATGTGAACGTGTTGAATACTATTCTTCCTTTCCTGGTAAGAAATCATATTTTTCATGAAAAAGTGCTATTTTTATGCCCTTGTATATAAGAACAAGTACATTCTAAGAAAAGGAAGAGGAGAGTAATTACGATGTCCCTGTACATTTTACTGTTACTATTTTTGAAGGATCAACTATTTCATTATATACAACTTTATCATGAGATTTTTCTCTTTGCAAAAAAATAGTCTCATAGAACATAATGAAATAGAAAATGTCTTTCGTCACCTATGGATGAAGTACAGAAGTTCCCATGTTCACTCATATCTCATCATTATTATTGCCTATGTGATATTATAAAGCTATATTTTGTTTCCAAATTCCCTTGGTGATGACTATTTTTGGACTGATCTCTACTTTTTTACTGTCGTGAACCTTGGTAAAATGAACACTTTTAACCTCTAAAACCAGGAAAGTACAGAGGTCAGAGGTATCTACTCTGACCAGCACAGGTTAACATTATCGGGGGAGGGAGTATTCTAACACATGTGACATTGCAAAAGGAAATAATCTCTAACCCTACAGAAAGTAACAAAATTATTTTATGATTATAAACTTAAGAACTCCTAGGAACACTAATAAAGACTGTTATTTTTTCATCCTTACCTGAGGATATGTTTATTGATGAGAGAGAGAGAGAAAGACATTGATTGGTTGTCTCCCATATGCACCCCAATTGGGGATTGAATCCGAAACCCAGGTGTGCAGAGCATCCTCCAGTCATCTAAGCCCCCCAGGCCAGGACAGTAACTAGTTTTAATGAAAGAATTCAACTACGCGGCCGGATGGAAGACAAATATTCCCAGACAATAGTTTTTTTTCTCTCTGCTGGTAAGAACCTACCACACACTGACGAAGAGGGAAGCATTCTACTTCACCTCCACGACTAAAACCATCTCGGAGTTTAGTCCGCGAGAAACTCACAGGACTCACGTGAAGGAACCAATAAAATCATGTCGAAGAACACACAGCAGGTTCAAAGAAGAACAGGTCATGTTCTTGATGGGAGCACGTAAGAATATAGTAAAATTCATCTCAGCTTTTGATTTTCTTTTTCAGAAATTACGATATTCTTTCCGGAAGACAGAAGTAAGTTGACCATAAAGCTTTAACTGCTGAAGTGCCCTTTCTTTTTATGCTGTAAAAATGAGGAAATCAATCGGTTCGTTTTCTTTTGTTGTGGTTGTTAAAAAATGTCTTTTTTTTTCTTCTTTTACAAAGTGTGCTAGAATTACTTCGTCAGCAGATAAAGAAAACTGACGGGTAGAAGTCTTCTTGCATTTCACTGGTACCGCGGGTTTCCACACTTTGATTTCTGGCGGTCAAACAGAGAACACTGTGAAAGTTCCTAGAAAGAATGTCCCATAGTGATTAGGAAAATTATGAACAAAAGTAGCGCTGCAGTGGAGAAACACTATTTGAACCAAATGTAAATATAGTCCATTAATTGGCATGGTATTGGCCCACCAAGAGTCTGACAGTAGCCTGGCTGGTGTAGCTCAGTGGATTGAGTGTGGGCCTGAGAACCAGAGGTTCGCAGTTCTATTCCCAGTCAGGGCGCATGCCTGGGTTGCAGGCCAGTCCCGGGCAGGGGACGCACGAGAAGCAATCATACATTGATATTTCTCTCCCTCTCTCTTTCCTTTCCCCTCTAAAGATAAATTTTTAAAAAGGGAGCCTGACAGTAATAAGTGGCATTTTCTGATGTGTGTCGGCTGCCGACCCTGTTCATGTCACCACCATCTATCTTGCCTTTCATCTCTTTCTTTCTGATAATTTCAATAGGCGTGATAGAGAACATAGGATGGATTCTGGGATGTGGGACTAGAACCTAATCAAGGCTTTAAACATACGGACGTTTAAATAGGTACTTTATCTTTCCTGAACAGCCACTTGAAAGAACATTAAGTTGCATCAGGTGGAAAACTAAGTTGCTGTCTAATCAAATTTTAACTGTGAGGGAAACAAAATCATTTCTTTTTAAAATATATATTATTTATTTATTTTTTAGAGAGAGGGGAAGGGAAGGAGAAAGAGTGGAATAGAAACATCAATGTGTGGTTGCCTCTTGCGCGCCCCCTACTGGGGACCTCGCCTGCAACCCAGGCATGTGCCCTGACTGTGAATCGAACCGGTGACCCTTTGTTTCACAGGCCCATGCTCAATCCACTGAGCTACACCAGCCAGGGCCAGAAACAAAAATCATTTCACTTAAGAAGAAAATGCAGGAAATGCAGGTGTGACCTAAGGACCAGACAAACTTTCCAAGAAAAACAAGAATCATCTGTTAGCAAAGTAATATTTAAAAAGCAGGTAAACGTGTCATGCTGGCGAAGACTCCGGTGAGAGAGCCCATTAGTGGGCAAGATGAATTGCTCGTGTCCCCAGAGAAAGCGACACCGTCACCGCTAAACGTTCACAGACGCGTTCCCCCGATAACCTTGCCATGCGGGTTGCAGCCTGGAGAACCCAAAGCCTCCGTGTGGAAGGGCTTCTGTGCACTGAGTGTTTCAGCTACATTTGCAGATGGGACAGAGTCTGAATGGGAGAAATCTTGAAGGAATTGTGGCAAAACCCAGATCGCAGAACATGAGCCAGCCTCAGAAAGAAGGTAGAGAGAGCTAGGAGAGTTAAAAGCATGCATTGGAAAGGGATTTTTATGATTTGTTAAGTTAGAAACGGACCTTATGGATATAAACGAGGATTCGTTTGGGGAAGGAACAAAAATCCATGTGTGTGTGTGTGCATGTACATGTCATAAGGTTACACATGTTATGTGGTCAATATATGTTGTTGTGGTGGAGATGTACACCATCTCCATACAGAAATAGATGGGTAGTCAGAGATGGCCACTTATCTGGGTGTGGAAACACGCGTGGGAAGATTCAAACCAGGCTACACACATCCTGTGTGTCCATGTGCACACGTGTGTCTGGCATGTGTCTCTGTGTACGCGCAGGTGTCCATGTGCCTTGTGTGTGGGTGTGTATGGAGGTGGAAGAGGGTGAAGAGAAGACACACAGGGGGAAACTGTTTAACAGACTAATGCCCACATTTACACGTCTAAGCTGAGGGTAGATTTCGGGCACGGGGGCCAGGTACTAGCTAAGCGAAACGCCAAGGACGTGCGTGCCTGGAGAAAGGGGGTCAGCGCTGGGCGTCCACGCCCAAAGCCTTATGGGTGGAGGCCCCCCGCCCTCTGCTCCCAGGCGGCAGTGGCTCAGGAGGGAGGCAGCTCTGTTCCCTCCCGCCCAGCTGCCCCAGAGCTGGAGGGAGATGCTGTTTTCCCCCAGATGGCAAGTGCTTCTTCCCCTTCTACTACAACAAAGGCATGTTCTTCAACTGCATCAAGTTCCAGTCCAAACACGAGTGGTGCTCGTTAACGGAGACTTTCAAAGGATATTGGAAGTACTGTTCTGAAGAAGGTGAGTGTCCGCCTCTTTTAGCCCTGGCTCTTGTGGCTCAGTGCATTGAGCGCCGGCCTGCAAACCCAAGGGTTGCCAGTTTGATCCCCAGTCAGGGTGCATGCCTGGGTGGCAGGCCGGGTCCCCAGGAGGGGGCGTGCGAGAGGCAACCACACATGGATGTTTCTCTCCCTCTGTTTCTCCCTCCCTTCCCCTCTCTCTAAAAATAAATAAATAAAATCTTTTTTTAAAGAATCAGATTTCAAAAAAAAATTAAAAGAAAGAAATCTTCCAGCAGAACCTCAATCACCCCTCACCAGCATTGTTGCCATAGGCTTGGGCTGGAATAGAGCAGCGTGAGAAGCAGGTGTGTGCGCACGAGAGAGCGAGATGCTGACGAGGCACGGAAAAGGAAGATGTCTCCCCCTGACTTTTTCTTTCCTCCGTGCAGACATGGCCAAGTGTGCGTTTCCCTTCTGGTTCCGACGCATGATCTACTGGGAATGCACCGAAGATTCGAACGCATATGGGAAGAAATGGTGTTCGCTGACTCAGAATTACAACAAGGATAAGATTTGGAAATATTGTGATGCTGATGAGAGTTAGAGGGGGCGGGGCTGAAGAGGGCGGTCGCCTCATTTCCGGGGCGAAGAAGCCTCAGTTTTTATTGGGAAAGCAGGGGGCAGGGTTTGAAGGCGATGTGGTTGTAAATAGCTTGGGTTTTGATGATGGTTATAGCGTTTCTAGCCTCAGCACTCCTACTTGCTAACTGTGTAAAACTGGGCCCTTAAAAAGTAGTGGGTGGACTGGGGGTGATCATGAGGTGCCAGTGCTATCGATGATAACCAATGTCGCAGCCCGGGGCAGGGTGGAATATCGGTCATGGGGAAGGCTGTGCTTATGTGTGGGGTCATCGGTATACAGGAGCTCAATGTGGTTGTGAACCTAAAGCCACAGAAAATAAAGTCTCCTCTAAAATGCATTACCCTGATGAAGAATTATTTTTTAAATATTCTATGAATTTATTTTTAGAGAGGGGGAAGGGAGGGAGAAAGAGAGGTAGAGAAACATCCATGTGAGAGAGAAACATGGATTTGCTGCAGTCCGACCGGGGCCTGAACCTGCAACCCAGACATGTGCCCTGACCGGGAATCAAACCAGCGACCTTCCACTTTGCAGAACGATGTCCAGCCCACTGAGCCACCCCAGTCGAGGCTGTTGTAATTAATCTTTATAGCAACCCTATTAGTTAACATTGTCACCATTTTCAGAAGCTATGAGCCAAGTGGATTAACTCATTTGGGGGTGGTGGGAATTAACTAACTTTTAAAGAGTTTCTAGCTTTAAGACTTTATGATATAGCCCTGGCTGGTGTTGCTCAGGGGATTGAGTGCGGGCTGCAAACCAAAGATTCAGCGGTTCGATTCCCAGCCAGGACACATGCCTGGATTTTGGGCCAGGTCATGTCCCCAGTAGAGGGTGCGCAAGAGGCAACCACACGTTAATGTTTCTCTCCCTCTCTTTCTCCCTCTGTCTAAAAAAAATAAAATCTGTTTAAAAACGACTTTTATGGCCCTCGCTGGTATAGCTCAGTGGATTGAGTGCGGGCCTGCGAACCACACGATCGCGGTTCGATTCCCGGTCAGGGCACATGTCTGGGTTGCAGGCCGGTCCCCTGCAGGCCAGTTCCCAGCAGGGGATGTAGGAGAGGCGGCCACACATTGATGTTTCTCTCCCTCTCTCCTTTCCTTCACCTCTAAGGAAATAAATAAAATCTTTAAAAAACAAACAAAAAAAAAAACGACTTTTATGATGTCAAATGCTGATAAAAGTCAAAAGCTAAACAGCATTACCACATGACCCAGACATACCACTTTGAGTCACATACTCAAATGGATTGAAAGTGGGAACTTGAATAAATATTTAAATAAATAAATAGGGCTGTCTTCTCAGCCCGATTCACAATAGACAAAGGAGGGGGCAACCCTGACATCCACCTGCAGAGGAGGGAATGAATGACATGTGGTAGAGCCACACAGGATGATATCATTGGCCTTAAAACAGCAATGAAGCGGAGCCCCGGCCAGGTGCTGAGTTGGGTGGAGCATTCATTGTCCCGAACAGCAAAAGGCGGCAGGTTTGCTTTCCCAGGTTGTAGGTTTGATCCCCGGTGGGAGCACATACAGGAGGAAACCTCTCTCTCTCACTGTCACTCCCCCACCCCCCCTCTCTCTTAAAAAACAGAAACTATTTATTAAAGAGAAATGAACTTGATACATTCTACCACATAGATGAGACTTGAAATCATTACACTAAGTGAAATAAGCCAAATACAAAAGACTACTCCTGTAGAATTCCATCTCCATAGGAAAATTCTTAGAGACAGACAGTGGATTAGAGGTAACCAGGGGTTGGGGGCAGGGGAGACCGGGGAGTTATTGTGTAACGGTGCAGGGTTTCTTGGGGTTCACCAGAATAACAGTCTCATTTTCTGTGGCCTTGAACAAACGCCAACATGCCTCGGGCTCTCACTGGGTACCAGTATGTGCCCTGACTAGGCATCGAACCCTCAACCTTTTGGTGCCCGAGATGACATGCCAACCAACTGAGCCACCCAGCCAGGTCCAGAGGGACATGTTTTAAATTCAGCTGTGTCACTTGTGACAGGTAACTTTCCTGACCTCTCTAAGCCTTGGTTTCCTCCTGTATAAAATATAAATAAAGATGATAGATGTCTTGTGGCTCTTTATGCGGATAAAACAATACGTGCAATTCTTGTTACTTGGGGTAGTTATGTTCTATAAAGTTGCTGTGAACATTGAGTTAGTGAATATTGAACTATGGCTCGTAGGAGCAATGGAGGATTAGGCTTCTGCCAGCAGCATTTTAACATTGGTATCAACTTTTTACCTGTGTTTCTGACACCTGTTCAACATATATTATTGCCCTATCCAGAGTGGCGCAGTTGATTGGGCATCGTTCTGAAAACTGAAAGGTCACAGGTTCGATCCCTGGTCAGCGCCCCCAGTCCAGGCAGGTGCAGGAGGCAACCAATCAATGTTTCCCTCTCACACGGATGTTGCTCTCTCTCTTTCTCCCTTCCCCTCTCTCTGGAATCAATAAAAAACATTAAATACATATACATATTGTTGGTTCATTAACACGGAACTCACAGCCAATGTATTACTCGTGCCGGAACAAAACTCTGATGCAGGAATTTTCTCCGTGTGACACACCACAGCCTGGGGACGCCAGGACTTACACCACCACACGCGTGGGCATCTTAAACAACAAAATCATCCACAACAACCAAAAAGAAAACCCGCACCAAACGTGGCACCAAATAGCCCTGCGAAAAGGAAATTTACTCACAGGATGAAAGCTGAGCACAGACTCTGAGAAATTCAAATGTTTCTTGCTCTGCGTTTGTCTGTGAATTTCACAGCCAGGGTGGATAGTTTGCAGGAGTTTGTAAAATCCGCAGGAGTTCGTAAGATTCGTAGCTCGAGCGCGCCCTCTGCCGTCTAGGTAGTGAAGAGCAGTGAATTTCAAGGATTGCTTTGCTTTTTGTTGGGAGAAAGGGTGCATTGGGGCGGGAAGGTTTCTTGTATCTTATCGTGGAACATCCTAACGTGTCTCCCTCCTTTTCCTCCCCACCAGCCAGCCTCCAGAGGAGATCCTCCCCTTCTGTTTACCCCCTTTTCCGACAGAATGGTGCTTTCCAAGTGGACCTCCTCACGCCCACACCCTTCTAAAGTGCCTGCAACCACCCACCCCTTCTCTGACCTAACAGGACTCCTTCTCAGTATTTTCTCAGTGAGGGCGGAATGTCTCTCCCAGCAGAGATTGTCGCCATAGCTTTGTTTTTTCCAGAACGTCGTATAGTTTAAATCACACAGCACCGTCATCCCCGGGTATCCATTGAGAATAGGTTCCAGGATCCCTGACTCAAATCTGCAGACGTACCATCTGTTACGTAAAATGGTGCGTTATCTGCTTATAACCCAAGCAATCCTCCCGCACAGTTTAAACCATCTCTAGGCTACTTGTAACACCTGATGCAATGGAAATGCTACGTGGATGGTCGTTACCCTGTGTTGTCTAGAAAATAATGACAAGGGGAAAATTCTGTACATGTTCAGTATACATGGAACCATCACCCATCGTAGGCCTAATTGCACATTACATGCCAGCACAATGTCACATATTATTTGCTTTTATTTTTTAATGTTTTTGATCTGCAGTTGGCTGAAACAGTCTATGTGAAGCCCACAGATATGGGTGGGGGGACTTAGGTAGGATTTCACTCTGGGGCCTTTCTTTCTTTCTTTCTTAAATTTTATTTAGTTATTTTTCAAACACAGTTTTCTGTCTATTTCTCCCATCCCAGCCTGCCCCTGCCTCGTGATCCCTGCCTCCCTCCCATTTCCACCCCCCTTAGTTCTTGTCCCTGTGTCCTTCATACTTGTTCCTCCAAATCCCTCCCCTTTTTTCCCCTTAAATTTTCTTCCCTCTCCCCTCCAGTCACTGTCCCCTTGTTCTCTATTTCAGAGTCTTTGTTTTTATTCTGCTTGCTTGTTTGTTTTGTTGTTTAGCTTCCTGTTAAAGGTGAGATCATATGGTATTTGTCTTTCAACCCCTGGCCTATTTCACTCAGCATAATGCTTTCCAGTTCCATCCATGTTGTCGCAAACGGTAGTAGCTCATTCTTTCTCTCTGCTGCATAGAATTCCATCGTGTATATGTCTCACAATTTTTTAATCCATTCATTTACTGACGGGCACCTACGTTGCTTCCAACTCTTGGCTATTGTAAATTGTGCTGCTGTGAACATTGTGGTGCATAGGTTCTTTGAAATTGATGTTTTAAGATTCTTAGGATACAATCCTAGCAGTAGAATAGCTGGGTCAAAAGACAGGTCGATTTTTATTTTTCTGAGAAAATTCCATACTGTTTTCCATAATGGTTGTACCAGTCTGCAATCCCACCAACAGTGAACTAAGGACCCCTTTTCCCCACACCCTCTCCAACATTTGTTGTTTGTTGCTTTGTTTATGATAGCCATCCTGACCGGTGTAAAAGGGTATCTCATTGTGGTTTTAATTTGCATCTCTCTGATAGCTAACGATATTGAGCATCTCTTCATGTGTCTCTGGATATTCTGTATGTCCTCCTTAGAGAAGTGTCTGTTCAAGTCCTTTTCCCATTTTTTAATTGGGTTCGATGTCTTCCTAGAGTGGAGTCGTGTAAGTTCTTTGTATATTTTGGAGATTAAACCTTTGTCTGAGGTATCATTTGCAAATATGTTTTCCCATACAGTTGGTTGTCTTTTTAATTTAATATTGTTTTCTCTAGCCACGCAGAAGCTTTTTATTTTAATGAGATCTCATTTGTTTATTCTTTCCTTTATATTCCTTGCTCTAGGGGACATATCAGTAAAAATGTTGCTGCATGAAATATCTGAGATTTTCCTGCCAATGTTCTCCTCTAGGACTTTAATGGTGTCCTGGCTTATATTTAAATCTTTTATCCACCTTGAATTTATTTTGGTGTATGGTGTAAGTTGGTGCTCAACTTTCTTTTTTTTGCACATAGCTATCCAGTTCTCCCAAGACCATTTGTTGAAGAGGCTATCTTTACTCCATTTTATGTTACTGCCCCCTTTGTCAAATATTATTTGACTGTAGAGAGTTGGGTTTATTTCTGGGCACTCTGTTCTGTTCCATTGGTCTATGTGCCTGTTTTTATGCCAGTACCAGGCTGTTTTGATTACAGTGGCCTTGTAATACAGTTTGATATCAGATATTGTGATTTCTCCTACTTTGTTCTTCTTTCTTAAAATTGCAGCTGCTTCGAGGTCATTAATGGTTCCATATAAATTTTTGAAGTGTTTTTTCTATGTCTGTGAAATATGCCATTGGTACCTTAATAGGTATTTAATTGAATCTGTAAATTGCTTTGGGTAGTATGGACAT